CTCAATGAGAAGTAAAGTCAGATTGGACACTACTGAGTCTGGAATGTTTCTGCATTGGGGACATTGAAAGAGAAAAGCTCTGCTCAAACATTCATTGACTTAGTGAGGAAACAAACCAAAGAGAGAGTTAATGACCCTGAATCACATAGAAATTAAAAGGAAAATCTCAAAGGAAGAATCTGGATTTATTTTACACTTACAACTTCAGCATGTAATTGCAATAGACACTCCGTCAGGAATTGCCTCAAGAATCACTCACATCCTGGGATTGTGTTGGCCTGGAATCTTGAAATTCTCTCCAGTGCCTACTTACATGTACAATTCAAGCTTTTTCAGAGAGAGCTAGCTTGACAAATCTGGTTTTCCCAAACTCTAACATTCCAGTTCTCTTGCACAACTGCAACAAGAAAATACTGCTAATGGGCTTCCTTAGCTTTCTAAGCCCTAACCCCAACACATTTCTGCGCTTAAATAAAAGCAAATTACTGCAAATGCTTGAAATCTGAAATAAAAACAGAAAGTGGCTGGGAAACCTCAGCAGGTCTGGCAGCAAGGGCTATAGGGAAAGGGCAGGAAAGTGGAAGTGAGGAATGTCTCAGATTAGCCATAGTCCTATTGAATGGCAGCGTGCCATGGCAGAGGCTGAATGGCCTACTCCATTCCTATATGTTATTGTCTTGTCTATGGAGAGAAAAACAGAATTAATATTTCGAGTCCAGTATGGCTTCTTTTGAAGAATTTCTCAACTACATGGAGTTTCAAGCAGCTCCTGAGATTCTCTTGCTGTGTTCAACTACACAGTCAGTGATCTTCAGCTACCTTCTTAGCTTTATGGCTATCATTCATACTTTTTCAAAATGGGGTCTCTGCTCTCGATTATCTTTCTCTCTGTCACTAATTCTGACAAATCTGATCCTAGAACTGATTTGAGTGAATTATGCATCAAGATTGCCTCTAATACTAGCCTGAACTGAACAGCCAGCAGTGAAATACCTTGTTCTTTGAGTATTACAATATTCACAGATTTCTGGCTTTATATGCAAAAAAAAAACATCACCATCCTTAGAATTTGCATCTTTTTGTGATTGGTGGAGCCTCCATTACACATTTATAAAAAAAAACTTATGGTTCGTAACAATCTAAAAACCTCCACAGAATTCATCATGAAGAGTAGGTTTGCGTTTCTATGATAATATCTAACAGAATATGCAGCAGTTGTTTCATTTGTTTATCGATGGCATGTAGGCATTGCTGGTGATGCCAACATTTGTTGCCTGTTCCTAATTGCCCTTGAAATAAATGACTTACTTGTCCATTTCAGACAGCTGTTTAAAAGTCACAAGTAGGCCAGGCCAAGCATACTTGTGGTATAATGCACAAAAATGTCAAGTTATTCATTTTGGAAGGGAGAACAAAAAGAACAGAGTATTATTTAAATGGAGAAAAACTGCAGAAAGCTGCAACACAAAGGGATTTGGGTGACTTGTACACAAAACACAGAAAGTTAGCACACAGGTCTAGCAGGAAATCAGGAAGGCTAATGAAATGGTGGCCCTAATTTCAATGGAGTTGGAGTGTAAGAATAGGGAAGTCTTACTGTACAAATTGCTAGTGAGACCACATCTGAAGTACTGTGAGCAGTTTTGGTCGCCTTATTTAAAGGAAGATATTATTTCATTGGAGGCAGTTCGGAGAAGATTCATTAGGGTGATCCCTGGTATGGAGGGATTATCTTAGGAGCAAAGGTTAAACAGTTTGGGACACTCACTCATTTGAGTTTAGAAGGGATGACAGGTGATCTTATTGGAGCATATAGGATTCCTAAGAGGCTTGACAGGGTAAATGCTGAGAAGATAGTTCTGTTCTTGGGAGAGTCTAGGACCAGAGGGCATAGTCTCAGAATAAAAGGGTGCCAATTTAAGACTGAGGTAAGGAGGAATTTCTTCTCTTGGAGGGTTATGATTCTTTGGAATTCCTTGCCATAGAGAGCTTTTGGGCAGAGTCCTCGTGTATATTTAAGGCTGAGATAGATAGATTCTTGATCAGTAGAGGAATCAAGGCAGGAAAGTGAGGAATGTTGGATCAGCCATAATCACAATGAATGGCAGAGCAGGCTCAAGGAGGCAAGCGGCCTACTCCTGTTCCTGTATCCTATGGTCTTATAGTCCAGGCCACAGATCTCCTTCCCTGAAGGACATTAGTGAAACAGATTGTTTTTTTACAACAACTAAGACAAAAATGGCTAGAAAATCTTAGCAGGTCTGGCAGCATCTGTGGGGAGAAATCAAAGTTAACATTTTGGGTCAAGTGACCCTTCTTAAGAACTCTGATTTCTCTCCACAGATGCTGCCAGAATAGCTGAGTTCTTCCAGCAATTTCTGTTTTAACTTTTAAAGTACAGTATACGCAGTTCTTTTGATTTTCTGTGTTTTTATTGCAACAGATGATAGTTTCAGTTCCAGAGATTTTATTCATTGAATTTAAAATCCACCAGTGTGTGAACCTATATCCCCAGAATATTAAACTGGGATTGTTTATCCAGTGACATAACCACCACACCACATCTTCCTCAGAAGTAAAGACAATTGTGAGAGTTTAAGAAAATGCATCATTATTTCTCAATGGAGGCTATACATGGGAGACAGTGTAGGTGACTAAAAATGATTTTCTGAATTACTTAGGTCACTATGTAATGCTAGGCTCAATATTTTAATAATATGAAATGTTGCTTACATTGTGAATGCTGGTGACAATGCTGCTTAGAAGAGAAAGCGAATAAAAGAGGAAGTAAATAAACCTGATCATTGTGTATTTTATAAATAGTAATTTTCTCATTATTAACATGCAACATTGATATTCCCATATGAGGAATGCCTATGGTCTTGTCAGGTGTTCAAAGTGTTATGTCTTGTTCAAAACAGCACATTACCTGTCTGTAATTTTCCTCTTAAATACAGATTGATTGCAATCTAGTCCCAAAGGAATTGAAAGGGAAGCAATAATGTATCCGGATCTAAAGCCCTTATTAATGCTGGGCCTTCATTATAAACCATGTCATATGCTAAATAATAAGCAATGCTTAATCATCTATCTGATGTTCTTTTAATCTAGATTCTACTGTGGCCTGAATCTTGTGTTTTATTGACTAAGTGCTAATTGCGTCATGTTTATTTGGAGGTTTTTTTGTTGCTGTGAGGCCTAGTGAAATTTCTCACAATATCTTTCGAAATGCACCTCATTCGTCACTTACCCCACCCCTATGGCATCCCTCTCAACTGATTGCATCCCCATCTTACCACTCATTGTCCTCGAAATAGCTTGTCACTCAGTGGATATCTGCCCAAAGATCAGCATCCCTGGTTCCAGTGCCATATTTAAATGGCCATTGTCTGCCAGGAGGAGTACTGGACTTCCCCCTGCTCAGTGACAACAAAGATGTCGGAGATGTAGAAGATGGTACCACGATTCTCTGACAGGGACCTAAAAGTCCTGGTGGATGGGATGATGCAGATGACCAGCAGAGAAGGCCATGATACCAGACACCAGCAGCCTGGTCCGAGGTCACCACCCGGGTCAGCGCAGTCTCCATGTTTTGGAGAAATGGTCAATAGTGCTACAAGAATGCCATGACCTTCCCTCTGCCAGGGTTCTTTCCAATACCGCACACTCACTCTGTCTCTGCTACTGTACCCACCAAGGCTCATGCTTTGCCACATCTTCCCTCACATGTTCTCAACACCCCCATCCTTATAAGCTTCTAATCCTGCCTGGCTTCTGCACTGTCCACTCACTCACCTGCAATACCTCACCACCTTTTAACCATCTGCACCAGCACTAAGAGCTGAGACAGCCACGCTCACCCCACTCAACAACTTGCTTACTTTCAGTCCAGGAGAAGATGGCACACAAGAGGGTAGAAAGTGATCAGACAGGTGGAAGGATCACAGATATTAGGCTGCTCACCCACTATGAGGAAAGGATACTGCCCCTTGAAGGAGAAAATTAGGACTGCTCTGAGAGGGACGGCTAGGCATCCATGCCCTGCCAACTGACTGAGTATCATTCTTTACTCTACTACAACTCTCACATTAGCCCTGTTCGTGTCAATCATTGCACACCACTTTTAACCACTATGCCTTCTCTCCTTTGTGTCTTGCCAGCCAGATGTCCAAGATCTCAGCAGAAAAATAGTCCGTTCCACCAGAACAACTCTGAGGTTGGGAATTGCCTCCTGCAACCCCAGCAACTGACAGATACTGACGGTTCTGTGGGAGCCTAAGGTTTAGAATGCTTGGGAGCACACTCTGGTGACCATCTCACTGTGACAGCTTCACAACTGCCCAAGGAAGATGTGGCCCAGACTGTTGGCACTTTAAGGACTGCCAGAGACCAGGCACTGGCTCAGCTTCAGGCAGGAGAGGACTCTTTGGTGTTGGCAGTCAGCAACATTTTCCACATTGCTCAGGGAGGAGCAGGAGCACACGAGTATGTGGGACACATTGGTCCTCATTGCCCAGTGGCTGCAGAACTGCACCTATTCTCTGAGGGACCAAGCTCCCCCAAACATGTGACTGTCTGGCTGCTCCGTGAACAGACTGACTACTTCCAAGGAGATCCAGATCCAGCAACCTCAGAGTCTTCTGGAGAGATGTACACATGTGGATAGGATATTCAGGACCAAAGGCATGGCATTAGGGGAATGGGAAACACTCACAGTCACTCCAGGTACCCCTTATTTACAGGGAGACATGATGTTGCTAGGGGACACTCAGCAGAGGAGAAACCATGCATATGCTCCTCAGAAATCTCCTTTCAAGACACTCCAGATGTGGTCGGGCTCTCCAACTCTGCCTTTCCTGCCCCTCCAATCCAAGAAAGTTCATGCTGAGGACAGTCCACTTGCCTTTGATGTGAATCCTCACTATGATTGTCTGTGTTATACATTGATTTGTACAAAATAAATACTGGATTGTTGTTGAGCGTTTGAAGCATTTACTCACCTCAAGTAATGCCTCTTTGTTTTTCTCTTTCATATTCTTCCCTTCTGCTTTCTTCTTTGCAATGTAGAAATTCTGGACACAGAACACAAAGGATTGTTAATTCTTTGAACTGCGACAGAATACAATGTATCGTCAAGGATAAAATTTACTATGCATGTTATAAATGTTAAATAACTGGCACTAAGTATTAATATTAGGTAGTTTACAATATTTTTCTGTATCTGAAAAATTGAGAATGGTACTTAACATTGTACAATCATCAGTGAACATTCCCACTTCTGACCTTATGATGGAGGGAAGGTCATTGATGAAGCAGCTGAAGATGTTTGGGTCTAGGACTCTATCCCGAGGAACTCCTATAGAGATTTCCTGGAGTTACGATGACTGACCTCCAACAACGACAACTATCTTCCTATGTGCCATGTATGACTCCAACCAGCAAAGAGTTTGCTCCCTGATATCCACTGATTATAATTTTGTGAGCAGCCTTGATGTCAAGGACTATCATTCTCACCTCACCTCTGGAATTTAGCTTTTTTGTCCATGTCTGAACTAAGACTGTAACGGGATCAGGAGCTGAGTGGCCCTGATGGAACCCAAACTGGGCGTCACTGAGCAGGTTATTGCTGAGCAGGTGCTGCTTGATAGCACTGTTGATGACACCTTCCATCACTTTACTTATAATCGAGAGTAGACTGATGGGGCGGTAATTAGCCAGGTTGGATTTGTCCTGTTTTTTGTGTTCAGGACACACTTGGGCAATTTTCCTCCTTGTTGGGTAGATACCAGTGTTGTAACTGTACTGGAACAGCTTGGCTTGGGGAGTGGCAAGTTCTGGAGCATAAGTCTTCAGTACTATTTGCGGAATATGTTCAGGGCCCAAACCTTTGCACTATCCAATGCCTCCAAACGTTTCTTGATCTCATGTGGAGTGAATTGAATTTGCAGAAGACTGGTATCTGTGATGCTGGGGAGCACTGGAGGAGGCCGACATGAATCACCCACTCAGCACTTCTGGCTCAAGTCCAAGACATTGGATAAATTGTAAATAATTGAGGCTCCAACACTGATACTAGTGGGACATCTGTCGTGCATTCTGCCAATTCAAAAACTACTTATTTACATCCACCCTCTGCTTCCCATTAACAAAATAATCCACTACTTATGCTAGTGTGCTGCGCACAACATGTGATCTCATATTTTCCGTACCAATATTTGACATGGCACTTTGCCTTATCCATTCTGGAAACCTAAGAACAACACATCCACCAGTTCTCCTTTATCTATATTACTTGTTAGTTCCTAAAGAACTCATAAATTAGTCAAAAAGAAAAGATTTCTTTTCCATAAAACTATATCAACTTTGCCTGTTGTCTGAAGATTTTCTAAGTGCAGAGCTATAATTTTGAGCTAATAGATCCTAGTATTTTTGCTGTGATATGTTAGACCACCTAGCTTATAGTTTCAGAGATAGTAGGGACTGCTTATAGTTTTCTGTTTTCTCTTTCCCTTTCTTGAACAGAAGAGTCATTTTTAATATTTTGCAATCTAATCATACCTTTCTAGAATTTAGGGAAATTTGGAAAATTAAAACCAATTCATCTACTATCTCAGCAGTCACTTCTTTTAGCTGGAAATTCAGCAGGACCAGAAGATTTTAGAGATTTCAATTGTAACAATTCTTTCCATGTCCTGTTTTAAGTTTTTGCTGATTGTTCTGATATACAGTTATTTATGGATGTTACTTCTTTACAGTGAAGAGTGTTGCAAAATTTCTATTCAATATATCTGCCACTTCCCTATTTTCCATTATTAACTTGCCAGTCTCACTCTCCAAAGGACAAAAGCTCAATTCCTTTTCAGTTACCCAAAGAAACTCTGACTATTATCATTTTATACTTATAGCTAGCTTTCTCTTCTATTTTAAATTCCTCTTTCTTAATCTTTTAGTTAATCTTAACTGTTCTTTATAATCTGTATAAACTTCTGACTTTGCAGAATTATTTTGGAAGTCTGTCTTGGTAAAGGGTTGCAGGATGGAAGGTCCAGAATGTTTAGCTGCACATGTTCACAACAGTGCACAAGTGATGCTTCTGACTGGCAGAGTATGGATGCCCTGAAAATAAGGCACCAGGACCTTCAAGCCCAGAAGGTGTCAGCAGATGTGGGGACTTCCTGCACATCCTGCCATGAAATTTGCTAAGCTACTCATATATGTTTTTGTAATATGCTGAATACTGTGTGATCGAATGAGAGAAATTGAGCCATCTCTGAGTTTTCTTTATTCATTCATGGGATGTGGGCATCGCTGTCCAAGCAGCATTTATTGCACATCCCTAATTGCCCAGAGGGCAGTAACGAGTCAACCACATTGCTGTGTGTCTGGAATCACATGTAGGCCAGATCAGGTAAGGATGGCATTAGTGAACCAGATGGGTTTTTCCCGACAATCAGCAATGGATTTATGATCATCACTACACTCTTAATTCCAGATATTTACTGTATTCAAATTCCATCAACTGCCATGGCGTGATTCGAACCCAGGTCCCCAGAACATTATCTGGGTCTCTGGATTAACAGTCCAGTCATAATACCACTAGGCCATCACTTCCCCCTGCAAGTGCAAGTGAAGGTCACTTTAATGCCCAATGTCAAACAGAAGAGTCTGCCCTTAATTTATAAGACATCTGAGCTACTGGAACAAGTTAAAAAGCCTGACTTCATTTGCACCATTGAACAGAACAACATAGAGAAAGTGACAGGAAAACTCCAGCTGATCTATGCAGCCATGCAGAATCCAGAAATGGTGCCATTTAATGGGTAGTTGATTCACCCTCCCACATCACCCAGCACAGTTATACATCTCCTGAGAGCCAAACCACCATAGAAAATTGGTCAGTTTAGAAAGAAATTTGAGGAAATTCTTCTTTAACTCCAAAATTCCAGGGTCTAAAGACAAAGCTGGCCAAGGTGAACTTGGAAACTAGATTATATGCAGGAAAATAGAATTGCTCTGTCAGACTTTCATAGAGATATTTAATCATTCTTAGCAAAGATTTATCCCTGTGAGAAAGAAAAGCTGTTTGAGAAAGATTCATCATCTGGGACTAAATAAGAAAATTATGAACAGTTTTAAATTAAAAGGAAATAATGTAGTCTAGATAAGGGGGAACTGCTGGATGTATGCTGGAGAGGTTATGTTGAAGACACTTGTTAGAGTTTAGTTAGAGTGTTGTGTACAGTTGTGGGTGCCACGTTATGGGAAGGATGTGAACGCACTGAAGAGTGTGCAGTGTCAGTTTTCAAGAATTATTCTAGAAATGAAGAACTTCAGTTATGGGGAAAGATTGAAAAAAGAAGTTTGTACTGATCTCCTTGGAGAGAGGAAGGCTGAGCAGAGATCTGACAGAGGTTTTCATGAATGGGCTAGATAGAGCATTGAGGGAGAAGCTGTTTCAGCTTGTAAACTGAACAAGAACAAGAGGGCATCAATTTAAAGTGATGTGCATTAGAAGCCAGGGTGAAGTGAGGATAACATTTTTTACTCAGCGGCAAATAGAAAATATGGAATGCACTGCTGTGAGGTGTAGTAGAGGCATGTTCAATTGAGACATTCAAGAGGGCATTGGTGATTATTTGGATAAATGTAATATCTAAGGGTATGCGAAAAATGCAGGAGACTGGCACGTGGTAATGATGGTCCTTGAACAAGCCAGTACAGGTACAATGGGCCGCTTGGGGTCTTCTGCACTGTAACACTGTGATACTGTGATGATGTAGGGAGTAGCATATTGGCACAGATAGAAGGTTAGTTAGCTAATAAGAGGGAGAGAGTAAAGAAAATATATTGCTAGGTTATGTGAGTTGACAAAGATGTGGCACATGGAGAATCATTCGGAAAATATGAAGTGGGGTACATTTTGGCAGTAAAAATTAAAATAAATGAAAAGAAGCTTACCTAAGTGGTGAGAGATTACAGAGCTTTGAGATGTAGAGAGATCTGCGTATACTAAATAGGAAAGTTAATAGAATGTTATTATTTATCACAAGGAAAACTAGATACAAAAATAGCGTGCTTATGTTTTAATTATACAGGACACTGGTGAGACCACATCTGAAGTACATTGCACATCATTGGTCACCCTATTTGAGAAAGGATGTAAATGTATTGGAGTTAGTTAACAGAAGGTTCATTGGACTAATACCTGGAGTGACCTGTTTGTCTTTTGAGGAAACAATGGACAGGTGAGACTTGTATTCACTAGAGTTTAGAAGAGTAAGAGGTAACTTAAGTGAAACATAAAATCCCAAGAGGTCTTGACAGTGTGGATGTGGAGAGGATGTTTCCTTTATGGGAGAGTCCAGACTAGAGGTCATTGTTTAAAAGTTAGAGGTCGCTGATTTTAAAACATTGACTATCAATTTTCTTTTCTCGCAGAGTGTCATGAGTCTTTGGAATTTGCTCCCTGAAAATGTGGTGCAAGTGGAGGCCTTGACTGTTTTTAAGGTAGAGGTAGATTATTATGACACAGGAGTTCAAATATTATCAGGGGTAGGTGGGAATGTGGAGATCACAATCAGACCAACCACAGTCTTACTGTATGATGGAGCAGGTCTGAGGGGCTGCGTGGCATAGTCCTGCTCCTGTTTCTTGTGTTGTTCACATGTTCGATCCATGGCTCATGCTAAATTAAATAACTTCAGTCACTTGACAAAGGGGCTACACTCTGAAAGCTTGTGTTTTCAAATAAACCTGGTCTCGTGTGATTTCTTATCTTGTCCACCCCAGTCCAATGCTGGCACCTCCACATCAGTCAAATGATGTTAAGATTTTTCAATTGGCCTCAGTGTTCCTGTACTAAGGAGGAGAAAGATGAGGCACCTTTCCCACTCCTGATTAATGTTCTGAAACTGTTCTGAAGTAAGAATAGATTTGACGTGACACGCAATAGTTCTGAAATCGAATCCAAAAATGTAAGTTGTTGAAAGAGAAATGAAACTCACAGAAGCTTTGCTCAATGAAGCAATGCCTCATATACACTGTATAAAAAAAAAAACAAGAGTTAGCATTA